ACACGGCCTGGCTGACCAGCACTTCCGGTTTTATAAAGAAGTAAAAAATTGGATCGATTCGTGGATAGCCTCAAAAGATGACCAGTTTTTTCGACGCGGGATTCGTACGCTACCCGAAAGATGGGAGAAAGTAGTGGCCAGCGATGGACAATACTTTGAATCATAAATATATAACCAGTTTTTTACAATAAAGCCTTGAATTTCGGAAAAAAAACGGCGGAAGCAAAGTTGTACACCTAATATAAATTATATTGTTTTTTTGAAAAATGAAGTCGAGTACATAAAAACACTTGTGAGCACTCACTGCTATTAGTCTAAAAAGATACACCAACAACAGTGAGCGCTCGTGGATTTGCTCCGCAAATCTGCTGATGAATTTGCTAGACGCGACCAATTTGATAAACCATAGTGCAGGATAGACTATGATCGCATGATACTACAAATGCTTTGAAACATTCTTTGGTTAGTTAATAATCACTATCGATTCGACATCGAATTGATGATCATTTCTCAATCTTCTCATTCAAGACTGTCTTCAGTCTTAAGATTCGATTCTTGATTAGCTTGTGATATCCTAAGATTGTACTTAAGACAATCTTAAAAACACACTAGCACTTTGTCAAAATTTATCGTACACCTTGTGTGTGTGTGTGTGTGTGTGTGTGTGTGTGTGTGTGTGTGTGTGTGTGTGTGTGTGTATAGAGTATATATTGATATTGATCACTATTTTAAAAATGTTTATTGTATTCACGATGCTGGAAATCGATTCGAGATCTCGGAGAGAGATTGCATTTGAACAATAATTCAGTCACTAATATTATAAAATTAAGTGCGATAATTGTGACGTATGTAGGACAGACGAGGAGACAGCTAAAAACGCGAATTGCAGAGCACCGAAATCATATACGCTGGAGCACATCTTCTCGTTCAGTTATAATCGAGAATAGATTCGAACATGATTTCGATTGAAATAATATTGAAATTCTTGACGAAGAATCATGTTACAACAAGCGGTTATTTTCGGAGATGCTTTATATTAAAAAACAAAAAAATCACTTTAATCTCCAAACTGATACTGAGGACCTGCATAAAGCATACATTCCGACTATAAACAAAATCTAATTTTGCTTTATCAAAATCACACTCGTTCGATTATTTTTCTTTTAATCAATATTTGTCCGTCGTAACAGTTATACATTTTTATTCCTGGACTGATTTTACATCTTCATATATAATTTAACTTTTATTTATTGAAGAATTCAGTTTTACATGGATTATGACTCTGTTGATTTTACTTTCTGACTACGGCAATATATTATTTATTACACACTGATTATTGGAATTTGACGAGTATCATATCATCGAATTGTATTAATATATTTGACAGATTGATAAGTTCTACAGAGTTGACGTATTTGTTTGCTTTTTATCTTAAGATAATTAATGAAATTTATAATTTTATTAATTATATTTTTATTAGAACATCAAGAAATTCTTTTCAATCGTCCAACCTTTTAGCGATTAATTTCAGTTCCTCTTTCAACTAGTCTCACAACATACATGTATAATGAATTCCACGTCTATCAACACTGTTTGATTATTATATTATTATAATCGTAACATCATTATGATTATTATATATCTAATAGACCGAAACATGTTATATCGTAATTATTAACCGATTAAAATATAATAATTTTACTGTGTATTTTGATTTTTAAACATAAAAATTTGTATTTTAGACTCTTGCATGCCCTATTATTTATTTCTAAACTAAATTTTTATTGTAAAAGTAATAATTCAATAAACGGTCGTTTGAATATCCTTATAGAACAGTCATTTGCGACTTTAAAAATACAAAATCAAAATAAATCCAAGATAGTTATATTCAAGAAGTTTTTATATATATAGGTTAGAGTAATGTCACTTTGAACTTTTTAAAGTGAAACTCCCTATTTTTTATTGCATATTCTTGTAGTACATTTCGAGAATTTTCCAAAACACTATAATAAAATAATTTTTCATGAAATACTTTTCGAGTTATAAGGCTTGAAAGATACAATATCGCCGACATTAGTATTACGCAAAGTCCGACCGATAGCTAAAATCTTTTGAATGTTGTTCTAGATAACATTTGTTAAGATCAAAGTCACATTGGTGATTGTTACTCTTATTTTCATTTTTGCACTGAAAATTTATTTTTATGCAGGAACTTTTATCCGAGAACTTTTTTATCTTGTAGCCAATTCACTTAAAAAATCTCGTTGTACAACACATAAAATATCAGCTTTATGTGATATATATATATATATATGTATAATATGTATAAAATTCCGTATTATATTTTTTAGCGGGAAATAATATTTCAAAGACCTATGGTTACTATAATGAATTATAATGAAATGGCATCTTTTATTATTTATATGGAAATGGTAGATTTATCTGATGAAGACGAAGATATTAATACATTTCCACCATTAGGAACATTCTCAATTAAAGATAATGATGGTACGAAATTTTATGTAGACTTAGTATGTAGACTTAGTATCACTTAAATCAGTATAAAATCTAATCTGCCATGGTTAACCTTTTAGATTGTGAAAGAATACAAATATTATATCCTTTATGTGGACTTATGAAACAAATAAAACATATAAAAGTGGAACATTATTGAAAAAATTGTCATAAATTATAATAAAGATTTCATAATGCATTTTAAATTGTGAAGAACATTAGCACATGATTTAATTAAGATGATTTAAAGTATCTGATATATTTACATGTATTCAAAGTAAGTAAATATATTTACGTAAATAAATATTTTTTAATTGTAAAATAAGTTAGACATAAAAATGAAACTAAGAGAAGGTTAATTGGAAAGAATTTATTGTTTCTTAAAGAAAATCATTGTTATAATTACTGTTTTCATATACAGAGTGTCATAAAAATATATATGCACGGTTTAACCGGAATATGCGTTAAAGATTGAGATTGAAAATTAAAGATAGAAATTTAACTAAGAACAAAGGAATTTTAGCTTCCATTATTTTGGTCAAATTTTAATCTCAACCTTCAATACATAGTCTTATTCCAGCCTTAAGCGGGGAGCACAAACTTTTGCATAACACATAAAACATGAAACATAAGAAAACAATCAGAGTCCTTTATGTCATAAAAAGGAAGGAAATGAAGGACTTTGATTGGTTCATTTTCTTATGCATTATGTGTTATGCGTTATGTAAAAGTCTCTGCTCTCCATCTTAAGATTTTTATGTTTTAGGAATTATTAATTAATAAAAAAGATCATAATTCCATTTTAAAAAGTGAAGGTGATTTTTATATCTTTTAGCGCTTCTATTTATAAAAGAAACAACTTGACCTGAAATGTTCCCCTCGAAACTATTCTGCTTTGAAATATCTGAAACTTATTTTTTAAGATATTTGCCTAGGGTAATTAAATGGGATATATATATAGCTTATTGTCTGTTACTTTTCCAGATCGAGGGGAACATTTAAAAATTACAGCAGAAAAACATATATTGTGCTTTTGTGCGCATGATTTGTCGGACATAAAAGTAAAGCCTATCGAGATGTAGCCGATTCAGAGTTGCAATTAGTATCTTATATAACATAATCACAAGAGTCACAGAGTTTATCATGACTTTAGCACCTAATATAATAAAATATATATCCTACACAAGAGGAAAAAGAAGAAACTGCAAATTACTTTCTTCGAGAGAAAGGATTTCCTAATGTCATTGGTATTATATTGTACTTATATATTTCTATTCATGTTTCATTAGAAATGTTTTATTTACATATACTTTATTAGGTACTAGATGGATCTCATATTAGAATAAACCATTGAAAGACGATTCTTAACTGTAAAATATATTTTAAAATAATATTTTTCATTGCATATCCAAGGAATGATTAATCATAAGATGGAACTTTTGAATGTTTTTATTGAATATCCGAATTCCGTTCACGATGCTCGAGTCTTTAAAAATTCATCACTAAATAACGATTTATGAATTATGTGGAGGTTTGTTGAAATTAGAAAATAAGTGAAAAATGTCAAAACTAGAAAGTAATCAGTATTTCAATGTTATCAATTTTATTCTAGATAAATACTGTTTATTAGGAGATAGTGCATATCCCTGTTTATCAGAAATAGTCGTTCCATACAAAGACAATGGGCATTTGACATGGAAGTAAAGAATTGTTAATCAAAAATTAAATTCATGTAGAGTTGTTATTGAAAATGCACTTGGCATTTTAAAGCAACAGTTTCGCCAATTGTATCATTTCAGCTTAAGAGACATTCCACGCATGGTGCATGTTATACACTCATATTGCGTTTTACATAATCTAGTTAATATGGATGATTTAAAATTATTTGAAGCACCTCTAAACAATGAGAAATCAGATATAGAGGCATAAGATCATGTACAGAGTAATAAACCTGTAAGACAACATGAATCAGATATAGACAAACGGAATAACATATGTGATGAAATAACTCATTAAAAAATATCAAAGGAGTTTTAAATAATTTAAATATAACCAATGACTTATAAAATAGTTCCAACATGCTTCTATAGTAAAAGTAAAATCAACATCAGTGAATCTCTATCCTTTTTGCGCGCAGAAGAAATAAAATTCACTGATGTTTACTTTATTTATATCATAAGGACATGATGGATCTGTTTTACAAGTTTATATTATATTGTTATTATATTATTACATATTTTGAATGACTATTTTTGATATTTATATCAATTCTTGCAAAATATTATTACATTCCTGTCATAATTTACTAGTTTATGGATTGCTTGTATGCTTTTTTTTTCATTATGACTGAATTCTTTATGACTATCATCATGTTTTTGCTCTTATAACATTTGTCATTTTAATGTACTACAATGTTTTTATTTTCTTTACACATGTAAAGTGCCAAATGCATTTTTGATAACAGTATTGTTAGAATATTATATAATATTTAATAATGAATATAATGAATATAATAATGAACATAATATTATAAATATAATATCATGTGCTTAAAGTGTTTTTAAATATATTTATTCATACATTTTTTATAACAAAATGAGTATAAAAAAACTATTAATATCACACTATTGTAAAGAAATTATTATTATAATATAAATATTGACGCAACATGTTCAGGTGTTCCACATGTAACTACTTAATAATAAACTTAGTAAACTTGAATAACATTTAAAATATAATAATTTTTTGTAATTAGTAGTTCTTCCTGGAGAGAAAAGGAAGAAAGATGAATCCAGACACATTGTGATATATATACATAACATATTAGTATTTTACACGAAAGTACTTCATTAAATTTTTAATAAATCTGAATAACATTCAAAATAATTTTTTATAATCAATAACATCGAATCTTATAACTATACATATAGGCTTCGTATTTTTTCAAAATATTGTGTTTATATTATTTATTTTTCATCGCCTTTCTTTTTTGTTATTTGTATTAATTCTTTCAAAATATTATTGCGATCTTCTCGTAATTTATTGGCCTTAATGGATTGCTCGCGTGTTTCTTTCACAAAGTTTTCATATGACTCTTTTACTTTTTGTTGCTCTGCATTTTCCATTGTAGTTTATAACGTTTTTCACTTCATCTATTTTAGTTAATTCATAAATTTTAACTTTCTTTGAATATGTTTAACACACGTGCCGTTGCTCCCTTTTTTACTTGTGATCTAAAAAGAATTTAATATAAAAAATAATTTTAGCCAGATTAAAATCGATACCAAAATTTATTTTAATTGGATAAAGACATTCTCTTTCTTTCTCTTCTCTCTCCTTTTCTCTTTGATTGAAACATTGTACAATTTTCTTATCAATCTCTTTACTTATATTATCATCAATCACAATTTCATCAGATGTTTCCTGATACGATGTTTCTGCTTCATGATTTTTATGTTGCTTGTTTGCCATCATTGATATTCATTTTTCATGTTCGCATTAATATGTAAAATAGATCTGTAACATATTTAAAATAGATGATAACAGCAGCTCTGTGTGATATAAAAAAAAATTATTTAGACCTTTATAAATATTTCATCATTAACACAATAAAATATATTATTTTTAATACTACCAATAACACTGTAAAAAAATTAACTAGAGCATTTCAAATCAGCGCTAAAAAGGAGTAAATTAGTGATAAATTTATAGCGAAATTTGTTGCAAATACATAAGATTTGAAGCGGTTAAAAATTTAGATTTAAAGTTTTAAAATGCTTTTTAAAAATCGTTCTGCAACCATTTTTTGCAAAGAACATAACTTTGAATTTGCTTTTTTTTGCGCTGATTTTTATCCCATAATTTTTTTAGCAGTGTATATGCAAACATTTTTAATAAGACCTTATATTCTAATATGTAAAATAAAATTTACGAGTGAGTGATTGTCTTCTCTGCATTTGGACAAATTATGCCCTTATTTCCAGAAAGTACTAGTGGTTCTATGTTATGTTTCTCGCCTATTATAATATTTCAGTTAATTCTCTATAACAAAATTATATAATTAAACACAAGTATACATATATATATATATATATA